ATTCGCGATATAAGTTGGTCAAACACCTAAATTTTGTAATTTCAAGTATAAGCCATCCCTTCAAACATGGTCAAATGCTTTCCTTAGGTCAAGGAAACAACTATAAAGATGGTTGTCTTTTTATTCATACAATGTGTTGTCTACTGCTGTTTTTAAAAGGAAGATGGCATTGGTGGTTGTTCACCTTTCTTTACTAAATCCAAATTGAAAGGGTGTTGAATGGGTCACTTTTTTTCTTAAGATATATGCAATGGCATTAGCGTGACTGGCGGCAGGGACCAGAACAGTGATTTCCATATTTGAGTGTACAGTGTTTTATGCAATGTACAGGAAAATACACACACACAGTTTGTGTAATACATATAGTTGATGATATCATTATATTATTTAGTATAGTGTTTTTTATTGTAAATAATGCGTTCATGGCTTATTTTGTAAAAATTTGGTTGTTGAGCTTAAATTTTCCATAATAGGGGTGACAATTATCCCCAGGTATAGCTGACTTCTTTCACTGAATTTGTATTTTGAATATTTATTTTGAAGCTTTTATTTTTTAATAAACGATTACCTTTATTGAAGATCATAATCTTTGTTTTTTTTGTATTTACAGTGAGGTTCCATTCAGTGCAGTAATTTTTGAATTTATTAAGGCAATTTTGTAGGCCTCCTGCAGTGTTGGATACTCAACCATGTTGTCCACATATTGAATACAGCTTAAAAGATTACCATTTATTAATACTGGGTTAAATGTATTATCCTCATATATGCCGGGGAGGTCATTTAGGAAGACATTGAATATTGTCGGGAACAGGTTGCATCCTTGCTTTACCCCACAAGTGGATTCAAAGCTCTCAGTAACACCTGATGGCAGCTTAACTTTATATTCAGTGTTTGTGTACATAGATTTGATTAGATTGTAAATATGTTAACACCTAAATTTTGTAATTTCAAGTATAAGCCATCCCTTCAAACATGGTTAAATGCTTTCCTTAGGTCAAGGAAACAACTATAAAGATGGTTGTCTTTTTTTTTTCATACAATGTGTTGTCTACTGCTGTTTTTAAAAGGAAGATGGCATTGGTGGTTGTTTACCTTTCTTTACTACCGTATTTATCCGGGTATAAGCCCAGGGTCTTGAACATGGAAAATTGCCAAAAAGAAGGGGTGGGCGTTTGCCAGGAGATCCCCGGCAAAAAAAAAGGAAAATTCGCGAAAATTGACAACAGGCAGATCGAACTGCGGCAAGGAATGGAACGGCAAATGAAAACATGCAACGGAAATAAATGAACAATATGCAACACTAGAAGTAAAACAAAAATAATGTATTGCTTATAATGTGACAAATAAACCAGAAATAATAAAAATCGACACTGAGAAATCATTTGAATTAGGATTTTCCCGCCGACAAACACGCCCAATACGCATGAACTCAAAATGAATTTAAATGTCAGGGGTTAAACTGCGTAAAATTATTTCCGGTCTCGACAAATTACGAATCAACCGTCATGCAAGATCAATAATAATTTACAAATTTACACAGTAAAAATCATAAAAATTCATAGCTGTTTGAGAAAAACTTCTCAGATCTTTATTTGTACGTTCTTTGTCATCTTCGTCAAACTCAAAACCCTCAAATGTCCAAGTCGGCGTCACTGTAGCCGTCGAACAAAATCCCTACAACTTATTCCTGAAGTTCATCGATATCGTCCCACGCAATTTGGACTTGGCACTTTTAATCCACGGATTTCGCAGTCTGTCAGCTTGACACTTTTCATTCATGTCTAATCATAATAAAGAGACAAGAAAAATGGGGTCGCTCTGCTGCGATGGCACACGATGCTTTTGTTTACAGCATAGACCCTCTATGTTTACAGTCAGTCTAGCAATCATCTTTTATGCATCTGCTTTACTGATTGGCTAAGAATGACATCACTACTAGTATTTCATCATAAAGGTCAAATCGTGACATTGCTTTCTTAACAGACTCGACGCTTATATGGATATCGCGGTGGACTTGAAATAGGAAGTTTTTTTATTTTATCCAACGACAGAAGAATAGTTTTCATGACAGAAATGCAATAGCGGTGATGAAAGATGGTAAAAAAGTTGGCAGTCTTCGGCGTGACATTGCAAAATTGCTGGCCCCAGTTATGGATTCGCAAGCTGCTACACAATATTTATAAAGCCAAAATAACGTGATTTCAACACGTCTCCCGGGTACGGGTTGCTACAATATTGCAACATTGTTTTCATTGTGGACGACGCTAAAGCGAGTGCGACACTTGCTTAGCGTCTCTCCTAATTCGATTTGCTTGAATCGTTTCACAGACTTGGGGGCTGAAAATCAATAAA